CACAGGGTACACAGGGTACACAGGGTACACAGGGAGAATGGGTAACAGGGAGTCTATATGGAGACTGGGTAACAGGGAGTCTATATGGAGACTGCCATGAATTACTTGCCTCTCAGAGACAGCGAAACCCTACATGAAAGCATCACGACCTGCCTACGAACCAACGTTATATTTCTACGCTGTTATTTCTCCCTTTTTGCCTACTTCGTTATTACGACTAAAAGAATGAAAGAAGACTATCAATAAGGTGTTGAGCTCGTTGCAATGGGCAGTTATTTCTCCACTGAATCTCGACCAGACACAGGATTTCGAAAAGAGGACAACCATGACATGCTAGGGGATGAAGGAAGAAAAGTTTTGAATGCTTGTGTAAAGGTCAAGATTTACGGAAAACCAGAAACACGCAAGTATGATAGTGGACGAGCAGCCCAGCTCTTTCAGGAATGTTATGTGCATCAAAATATCCTTTTGGCGGTGAACGAAGAATTCTCGCAAGCCAAAGGCAATGATGAGAAGGAGAAAACATACAGCGTCGTTGATATTTACAACGCAATGGTTAAGTATGAAAACATGCCCTACGTTCGAATATACCCCAAACAAGGATCTGGCTCGGAGAAGATCAGAGAGTTGATTGATAAACGAAGGGCTGACGTCGAAAGAGAGTTGGAGGAAGCTAAAGCTAATCCAGATGGCAAAAAAATGTACTCTTGGACTGTTGCACAACGACGAGTTAGGGACTGCTATGCTGGAAACTTTCCAAGAGATGAATTCATGTCAGCACTACCTCGTATTCAAAAAATTTTCAGCATCAAAGACATTGAAAACGCTGTTGGGATTTTTGATGAGGAAAGCACTGAAATATTTAGTAACCAAAACAAAATCACAGATGAGAAAGTCCTTGCACACAGGGCTACCATTCAAAGGAATTACCAAAATGCTCTCATTTCTCCAGGCACACTCTACAAATGTAGTGAAGAAGAAGGACTAGAAAGTTTAAAGAAATGTTACTCTTCAGCTGACCCTCTGTGCGGTAGCAGTTATCATGATTGCTGCACATGTAAAAATGAAGGTTTCTGTATTTTTAAACTTTATAACAGAGTTTGCATGGAGGATATCAGATTGCTGCAGCTTTGCAAATACCCTGCAGAAGGACCTGGTTCTAAAGAGCTAAGGGAGTCAATTGAAAGAAACAGGGCTGATTTACAAAAAGAGATACCAGATCATGAATATTCACGTGAAGAGGCAGAGCGCTGTGTGAGAGATTGTTTTGCTAGTGGCATTCCTAGGGCTAGTGAAGATGTATTTCCCATTAAGAAAGATGAGAGTGGAATGCCAAAGATCTACCAAACTTATGATATTTTTGACATAAAACAATCTCTGGTTTATTTTGATTCCAAAAAGTTTCTTGAAAAGTACCCAGAAGAGGGACACATCTCTGATGAAGTAAAGAAACGCGTTGATAAACAGAGAGCACTTATTCTGAGTGAGTATGAGATTGCCACTACCCCTGCTGAAATTGAGCACGGTTCCGGATTTCTCATCAGCAACTACTTTATACTCACCAACAAGCATGTGATTGAAACCTATCTAAATAAAAAAGGCTTTAAAATTTGCATTTGCAATGCAGCCATTGATGAGGTGCATTGTGAGGTTGCTCACACTGATCCTGGTAAGGATCTTGCATTACTTTATTGTCCAGCCCTTAATTTGCCACAAAGTAACATATCTCCATTGCAGTTGTCAACCCAGCCATTGTTGCCAGGAATGCAGATATTTTCTTTTGGTTATCCTGTGAGTCACACAGAAGAAACTGCTCTTTTTGTGACTGGAAATGTCTCTGGTTCCAAGAGGACCCTATCAGGCCATTCAAAGGTAGTATTGAACTGCTCACTGAATTCTGGGAACTCAGGTGGGCCAGTTCTCTCTTGGGTAGATGGACAGGTCAAGGTAGTTGCCATTGCAACTCAGAAACATTTTAAAGAGATTTTAACATTTGATGAAATTGATACAATTGAAAATATTAGAAAATCACTGCAAACCCGAACTATTACTGATGTGTCTGAATATGAATTTGAACGTCTCTCTTATCAAGGAGTTTTTTATAAAGTCCCTGGCTCTATTCAGGTTTCAATGCATCTGCTCACATTAAAACTGTATGATGCTTTGGAAACACATTCTCAATTCAATTTAAGCAATGCACTACCAGGAGATTCAGTGGTTAAGTTCATTAAAGACTCCATCCTTAAATACAAGGGAGAACATAAAGAAGAGTTGTTCAAAGTAATTGAATTGTCTCAGTAAATTAGTCTAACACACAAAATTGTTTGTCAGTTCCTCTTTATGGTAATATATCTGATTTTTGTACAATTGTTGATGTTACTAGATATTTGAAATCAAAGATGAGAAATAGTTTTTCAAGAATATGTCTATGTTTGGATTTCTTAGAATAATTGAAGGGTACCTTGAGGATCTTGAAAAAGAAATGTTTGAATGTAAAATAGTTTCTGCTGCTTGAGAATGGTTCAGAATTGCTATTGTCTTTGGCCAGTTAAGTTTCATAATTTTTTACAACTCATACTTAGATTCTGTTTCAGAGCAGTTTGTTTGGTTAACAATAGAAGAACAAAAACTGTGAAGAAATATTGGTATTACATTTTGCAGGGGTAAAAACCTTTGTTTGTAATGGTATTGTCACTTGGTTTTTAGTGTTTTGCCTTCTATTCTTTTAAAAAGGCAAAGTTTAGCTTACAGAAGAACTCTAGGGTTCAGTAAGGTTGTTACTAAAATATATCTAGGTTGCCGAGCAATTAAAAGCTTTTACAAACGAAATTAAACAAGTCAACTATATACCAATTTATGTCATTTGGGTTCTGCCAGAGCACAACTTTTTTAGAAATGTAATTAAGTTCACATATATCACAGTATTTTGTAATTCCTTCTTAACCTAACATGTAATATAGATTAATGTCAGCATTTAAGTTGCTTTTTCATCTTGCTAGTTGATGAGAACAGATATGCTGTGTAAACTGTAATTGTCAAGCAGACAAGAGAAGGCCAGAATAAATGTTTCATGCGACACTCTTTTCTTCTTTTGTACTTTTTTAATCTGGTTTTAGGCATGTTAGTTTTATAGTTCCATATTTATGTAGCCATGGCTTGTGTGTGTACACTCAGCTGTGAAGTTGTCCACTTCCCCTGTAGGGCTTTTTAAGACCAATATGAATGATTGAATAAAGGAATAATTTAACACTGCTTAATAATCCCAACTAGCAGGAGGTCGACCAATTGGCTACCTACAAGGCACAGCCAAGGAGTTGAATTTGGACAACCAAGAACAAAGGAACAAACCAGGGAGTGGCAAAGCTGTAGGGCTTAACCCCTCAATACCCATCTACAAGACATGCACCTTCGTTGATTTTTCAATTAATTTCATCAAATGATTTAATGTTGTAGAAATTTTGGGAGTCATTAATATTTTAGGCTCAAGAATTTTATCATTTGGGTAAAATAGAAAAATCTGCATTTACATAAGTTTATAATCTCATCTCCAATAACAATGTATTAAGGCAGTTTTTAAGATAAAATTTCCATGGTGGAAATTTAAGAACAATTTCATAAACACCAAAGAGTTCCAAACCCTGCTTACCATGTAATCCAATTCAAACCATCAGCCTCCAACTGGACAACAAATTTCACAACAATGTGTCTTAGTCTAGCCTGTTGATCTCGTACATCAACACAAAAATCTACAGTTCATCACTTCTTTAAAAGAAAACAACAGCACAGAACAAGAAAAAGTGTTCTGTTAGCAGCCATCTTTTTTTCTGTTGCTATTGATGCTAACATATTGAAATTACAAATTTTGTCAAGGTTTGTCCATAACAAGACAGTTTTGAAATTTTAAAGAAGCTTTCTAAGCCCAGAATCTAAATAATGTTTATTCAGGGCTCTGAGCTCAGTTAAAAATTATAAAAACAGTTTGCTGTAACTAAAAATTGCCCCAATTCCCTGGCAATTGGTTTTGGAGATTCATGGGACAAAACAATACAAAAAGCCACATAAAAAGTTTACACAAGGTGCTTTATTTCAGACCATCACAGTTATTTCTTCACAAAATAAAATTAGCACAAGCACACAAAAGCCCATCCAGAAAGCCATTCAATAAAACTATTGGCAGGAATTGACCACTTCTGGATCAAGTCTACAGTTTACAGGGCAAACAGGATTAAAAAGGCCATCATCAAGCAGAAAAGACCCATAGCTTCAGACAAGGCAAAGCCAAGAATAGCATATGAGAAAAGTTGTTGCTTGAGGGAAGGATTCCTGGCATAACCAATGATTAAACTGCCGAACACTGTACCAATACCAGCTCCACTACCTGAAGAATGAGAAAAAAAGTTCCAAAGTCAGAGGATAGAAAATTTTAAAAGGTAAAGCCAGCAAATGAAATGCACCACATAATACATTTCCTGACATCCTTTCCCAAAAACACTGGCATGATTGAGTTCAAGCTTGCTTTACAGCTGCTCCTTACTTATGTGGTGCAAGTACAATACTGTCAAAGTGTTCCAAAATGGGCTTCTGCTTTAAAGTCTGTTTTCTACCCTACTTTTCATAAGTTGCAAAGTATGAACTCTTCAAGTAACTCACTGACCTGCAACACCTACAGTAGCTGCTCCAGCACCAATAAATTTAGCAGCAGAATCCACATCCTGCACCTGAGAACTTGTCTGAAAGCCTCGGCAGGCCAGAGATAACATGGGAGAGGAAGGGAAAGCCTGAAAGAAAAAAAGGGAAACCATTCAACAAACAAAGTTTTCATTTTACTACAAAACATGAACTATTGCAAAAAGTTATGCAACAATGGTTAATCATTAACTAAAA